AATAAGGAAGGACGCGCGGGAGATACTCTATGGCCGGCCACACGGAGCGGCCGTGACGGCCGGAGTCACGTGACCGCAGTGACACGTCATGACGCGGCGAGCCACGTGACGTGTCACAATAAACAGCAGAGGAGTGAATTTTCAAAAAAAAACAAGCCGTCTTTAAATTAATGAAACAATCATTTTCATAATGTGGGAGACACTGTCCTTTACGAATCGCTGAAGGATCCGTCCGTGGTCCCCTGCGAAGTCCGGGGTAGGCAAGCCCGCCGCACACGTAAGTTGGGCGTGTTGCCTACCCCGCCGATCGCAGGCGCTCGGCGCCAGGCCGCATTGGCGTTTCCAAATTTTTTATTTTGTTTTCTGCAAAAAAAGAACTCCGTTGTGGCACCAAAATTGGGAAATACGGGAGGAGCATTGGGCGCCTTGCCTCCTGCCTCCCTCTGTAACAGATAGCCCGCTCCACCTGTTGCAAACCGCGGCTTAGTGGCATCCGGGCCAAACGAGAAGGCAAGGATTCATTTCCTGGCGGAACTTTCAATTCCCCCTCTCTTTTCTCTTTTCGCACTTGTTTGCCGGTAGCATTTTCTGCAGATTTGCACAATCACCCGCCCTGGCCCTGCTTCTGATTCTCGTGCCTTTACCGAACCTTTTGGAGCCGGCCGCCCGGGCCGCCCGGCCCGACGACATTCGAGCCTAGAGGCGGCATTCCTCTTGTGTCGTAACCCCTCTTCCCTTTTAACCCGCCCTCCTTCACCCTGCCCCTCCTATCTCCTGGCCTAGCCTGGCCTACTCCCCCGTCACCATCCTGACCGCAACTCCGCCTCCCCCGGGGAAAGGGGGGGGGGAAGGGGGGGGGACTCCGATAAAACTCGCAGGCCCACCGCGGCGGCCCGGAGCCGAAGCAAGCCGAAGCAGGTCGAAAAACTGAAGGATGGGGCACTCTTGCGCCGTGCGGGGCGAGGTTCGCCATTAGCAGTTATGAAATTTTAACCAGCGCCAAAACTCGGCGCGGCGTGTGTCCCGGTGTGTGCTGCCGGCGGGGGAAGGGGGGGGGCTGCAGCGCTTCCAGCGAGACCAAGTTTGGCAGACCCTTGCCCGCGTATTTCGTGGCGCTGCGGTCCCATTCGAGGTGTCTGTATTTCGGGTGTACCCGATGCTGCGTGGGGCGTCCTCGGGGTGGAGTGTGCACCCCCGAGGCACAGTGGGCCAGAAGACCGGTGAAGGTGGCCAAAACTCAAGACGCGTTTTGAGCTCCAGAATCGCTGAACAAGACTCGAACCGAACGCGTGACCCCTCCATTGGATTCCTCGTTCGGAGAGCAATCCATTGGTGGGGTCACACGTTCGGTTCGAGTCCTGTTGAGCGACTCTGAGAGCTCGAAACGCGTCTAGAGTTTTGTCCGCCTCCACCGGTCTTCTCTGGCCCACTGTGCGAGGAGGCCAGAGCGTAGCTGGTGGAACAGTTTGAGGTGTACGTCGACGCTGTCCTGGAGGCCGGACCGCCGCTGCCGCCGTGCCTGCCGTGCCTCGCTGGCCGTGCCCATGGGGGTCGTGGAGCTGTTCCCCACCTGCCGGCTGCCGGGCTGCCGGGCCCGGGGGCGAGGCCGGGCGCACGGCAGTACGACAGTACGACAGCCTTAGGCCGCTCCGTTCCGCCCGCCGCGCTGCTTCGCCGCTCCGCCGCTCCGCCCACGACTTTGGCAAACTCATCGCTCTAGGCGGCGACAGACGACGTGCGGCGGACGCGCGAAAAATGCGCCGCGCCGCCGCCTCGCCTCGCCTCGCCCTGAGAAATAGGCGTGACGACGCGGACCGCCGCGCGATACACGCCCAAAAACAACAACAAAAAGTAAAAAAAAACCATGCCCGCCCGGATGTGCGTTAGAGTGTTGGCTGTCGGGATTTCGGTCCCTGTGGCTATTTTCGGGTCCGCATACGTGCCTCTGTACGTCTCACTTTGTCGCGGGGCATGCAGCCCTGTGTGTGTGGGGGGGGGGGGGGGGCACCGCGAGGCGGCTGTGCGATGAGCGCCATGAAGGCATTCCGATCACGTTTGAGAACCGGCGTAAGGGGGCCGTATGGGGCCCGCGCGGGGCCCTACCGACCTGCCGCGAGCGACTCCGAGGAGTCGGTTCGTCGCTCCGTCTCTCTCGCACCCCTACGGGGCGCGCTGAGTGCAAGAGAGAGACGGAGCGATTCTCCGGAATCGGTGTGCGGCCTGTGCGGGGCGTGGTGGGCAGGCACACCTCGGCCAGCCAGATTGTTGTCCAGCGTTGTGGCGTGGCGTGGCGCGGCTGCGCTGCCCCGCCCCGGGCGAGGGCGCACCGCGCACTGATTGATGCCCGGACGAGGGAAGCTCCAGGCAGTTCCAGGCAGTTCCAGGATGTGGAGGAACTGCTCGCGGCAGAATCATTTCCTCCTTTTTTCTGGCGCAGGTACTCCAGAAGCAGCAGCAGAAGAAGCCCCTCCTGGCGTTGTCCCTGACTCCGGGGCCTGCAATGTAAACGAGCAAACACGCGAGCACTGTTGTCTCGAAAGGAGACAATGCTGCATCGGGCTGGCCGGGGCCGGAGCGGCTGAAGCCCTGGCGGCCCTGGCGGCCCCGGCGGCATGCTCGTCTTGCAGTGGCCTGCAGTCCCGCTGGGGCGTTGACGTGCTGGCGTGTTGACCGTCCACTCCAAGCAGCGCCAAGCAGCGCCAAGCAGCGCGACGAGGTGTCGCCTTTCAAACACAGACGGACGTCGCTGCAGCATTAACGGCCTCCTTCTCCTCCATCTTCTCCTTCTCGGCCAGGTGCACGTGGGGCGCGCTGCCGGCGCTGCCTGCCTTCACAGGGGTGGCCTGCCCTGGCCTGCCCTCACACACCCTCAGCGTCGGCGCGGTAACAGTGCATCGTCCCGACAGCGGCAGCTTTCGACACGAGAGGAACTTTCCGCCACTTCCACCTGCAGAAGCCAGTGGAAGTCTTGACGCGCCGCGCAACATTCATGACGTTCTGAGGGAGAGAGAGAGAGAGAGAGGGAGAGAGAGAGAGAGAGAGAGAGAGAGAGAGGGAGAGAGAGAGAGAGAGAGAGAGAGAAGAGAGAGAGAGAGAGAGAGAAAGAGAGAGAGAGAGGAGGGACGTAGGAGGGATGGCTGCGAATGCGAGATTGGCACGGCCCAGCCAATTGGCGGCGGGTCGGGTCCAGGGTTTTACGCCGCCCCCGCCCCGCCTCGCCCCGCCTTGCCCCAGACTAGTCACATCCTCTGTCGCGGTGGGTACGGAAAGTGGGGCCCTTGCCTGGAGCCTGCCAGGGGCCTGCCTGTGGGGCCTGCCCGGCCGGCCCTGTCTCCGAGGGGCATCTGCCTGGTTCTTTACGGCGTGGAAAGCACGCAGGGCCGAGACGGCCGTGGTCCCCCCCCTCCAGTACGTCACTTCCGGCCGCCCAGACCGGCAGCCAGGCAGGCAGGCAGCCAGGCCCTTGGCCCGGCCTTCCCTCGCCCTTTTGCATTTTCTTTCGTTTCCTCTTACTCCTCGAATCAACAAATCGCCGAGGCCAAAGCTGCCGAGGCTCCGGCAAGGCATTAACTGTTTGCCGATTAATCGGCCATTAGCCCGGGCGGGGGCCGGGCCGGCTCCGGGTGGCTCTGGGCGGGCTCCAGGCTATGGGGCCGGAAATTGGAGCCAGCGTGGACGGGCGGCGTGGCGCGTCACAGAACGCGAACGGTGTCACACCGTCACACCACGGCGCGTCACGTTCTCCAATTGTCACCGGACATTGGTGTTTTTCTTTTTCCAGTGTGCGTGCGATTACGGTGACCCCTCCCCCTGCATCGTCACGAGGACTATCACCTCACTGGCGTCACACTGATGGGCTCCGCCCCGCCCCGCCCCTCCACTCGGCTGTCAAACGGGGTGACGACCGTGACGGGCGTGACGGGGTGGATGGTACAAACAAATGACCCACCTCGCCGCGGACCCCGACGTCCGGGCTGGGCCGGGCCGGGCCGGGGCGGGCAGAGGTTAGGCGGGCGGGGCAAGGGCAGGACTGGATGGCAGGTGCCGTGCAGGTGATACAGCCGAGTCTGCGTGAGCCCATCCGTCAAGCCGGGCGTGCCCGCCCCGCCCCCCGCCCCGCCCCGCCCGCCCCGCCCCGCCCCGCCCCGCCACGCCCCGCGAAAGCCGCACCGATTCTGCTGCAGCAGAAACGAACAGCGAGCTCGAGGAAAAGAAGTCTATTTTGTGGAGTGCGCGCCGAGAAATAAATAAGTAAAGTTGACTCGGTATATCGGCGGAAAGAGTTGGCCGCGCGCCAGCAAACCGCCCCACCCCGCCCCGCCCCGCCTCACCCCGCCTCACCCCGCCCCACCCCGCCCCGCCCCGCCTCGCCCCGCCACGCCACGGTACGCCCTGGCCAAGAAGGGCCCGCACGTCATGTCATTGCAGCAGGAAGTGGATTAAAAAATGAGTTTATTTTAGGCTGAGGAGATTTACAATGTGACTGGTAGCCCGCGAGAAGGATAAGCGGACACACCTGCACTGCAAAGTCGTTAGAAAAGTATTCCCCCCCCCCAAAAAAATGTTGTTTGAGTGGTGGCCTTCACGACATCCGTGCTCGGTATTCGTCAGTCCAATTTCAAATTTTATTCAACAATCACCCCTCCTGACACTCCATAACAGTAACAATTCGCACACTGTTTTTCGAGCCAACTTTCACGGGACTTGAGCACCGTGCGGCACTAAAAGACGTGCGCAGGGTGGCGTGAAAATTGGCGCGAACCGGAGCGGTCGACTAAGTACAGCGTCCGCCTTTTAGCGTTCTTTAAGTACAAAAGTGCCTCTCGAAGCATGACGGGTGAAGAGGTTTCCCGTTACTGCTTGCCGCCGTCCTCGACGAGCCGTTGGTTCGACGCGAAGGTGATCCGTGTGGCCTCGGCGCGGCGCGAGTGCCGCCAGTCCCGGCACAGCAACAGCATCACGGCCGCGGTGAGCGCAGCCAGCCAGAGCGTGGTCGCCGCCGTGGCCGCCGTGGCCGTCGACCGGTCCAGGCTGTCCAGGCGCTTGGGCCACTCGGCCTCCGTCTTCAACGCGATGCTCAGGTCCAGCCCCTCTACCTGCGACAGCACCATGACGTCAGCCTCACTCACCGTCCTGAACCCAGAACCCTGGACCCAGAACCTTGAACCCCGCACCCTGAACCCAGAATCCTGAACCCCTGGACCCTGAACCCAGGCTCCGCGGCCTACCTTGATGGCCTTGGTCCAGTTGGCGTCCACGAGGGTTGCCGCCCACGACGAGTTGGCCAGCAAGGCCGCGAGCTTGGACTTGTAGTTGGTCCACATGGCCGGGACCTACAACAGCGGCAACATCATCCTTCACTGCAGTCCTGCGGCGGCCCACTCCACTGCAAGCCGGGTTGCGTACCGTCACGTTGACCACTGGCGTGGTGGGCAGGTCGGAGTGGCACGACACCACCGAGGCCACCAGGACGTCGTCGGGCCGCGAGACGTCGCGCAGCTCGCAGCGGCACGGCACCTCCACGATGAGCGACCCCACTGGCGTCCGGCTCAGCGGCGTGTACTCGTCGCCGCACTTGAGCGCCAGGTCCGCGTCGTTGTTCACCACGGAGTACCTGCCGCGGGAGACAGTGTGGGTGACGCCGACGCCGTCACAGTGTGCAAGCTCAAGACGAGGACGGCGCGCTCACAAGTTGTTCTGCAGGTGGGTGACCTCCGCGCCGCGGTACGGCGAGCACGTGAAGGAGCACACGCCCCTCAGCTTGTCCAGGAGCTCGGCGTCGGCCGCGTCGCCGGCGTCCCTGAGCTGCCACACGCCCTGGACGCAGGCCCTGGACACCCCGGGCGCCTCGGCCAGCCGCGGCACCTCGCAGACGCGGCCGTCCAGGCAGCTGGCGCGCTGCTGCGGCGTCATGATGCGCAGCGCGCCGCTCTCCGACACGGCCACCATCACCTCGCGCGGGAGCAGGCGGCACACGCTGGCCGCGCCGCCCGCGCCGTGCAGGAAGCCCAGCGGCAGCACGTCGTACGCCCGCCACCGCTGCTCGTCCACCGGCACCAGGGGCAGCTTCACCAGGATGGCGAGGCGGTCGTCGCCGGAGAAGACGCACGTCGCGATCTCCAGCTTGTACAGCAGCTCCAGGGACGGCACGGCCAGCGCCTCCCGGTGCGAAAGCTTCTCCTCGACTTCCTCGACGGCCTCCAGCAGCTTGCTGGGCGGCACGGCCTCCAGGGGGATGAGCCCGGCCGCGCACGCCGCGTGGATGCTGCAACACAGACTCGGGTTCGAATCCCAGCCGATGCGCCAGCAGAAAAAATCTGGCGGCGGCCTTACCTCTGCATCCTCTGCGTGTTGAGCAGCTTGTCCGTCTCCAGCACGGCGATCGTGGCCACCTGCAGCGACAGTTGTATGACGCGGCGTCCGAGGTTGGCGACCAGCGTGCCGGTGCTGTTCACCACGGCCGCAGTCTTGTTGTTGACCTGGACGAAGACACGCTTTATGACACGTCAGGACGACGAGAGTGACAAAGACAGAGCGACGGCCGTACCTGCTGCACCAAGTCGGCCATGGCGTTCCTTGTCTGCACTTGTGCGTCGCGAAGCGTCTTCACGTCCTCCTTGACCGCGTTCAGCCCGGCGACCACCTCGAGGTCCTTCTGCCTCAGCAGGCCGATGTCGTTGTAGGAGCCCACGCCACAACAGCTCCTGCAGGCCCACACAGACGCCTGGGTTCGCGTTCGCTTCCGCCAACGACACACAGTGGGCCAGAAGACCGGTGGGGGCGGACAAAACTCTAGACGTCCAGAGTCGTTAAACAGGACTCGAACCGAACGTGTGAGCCCACCAATGGATAGCTCTCGGTACGAGGAATCGATTGGTGGGGCCTTACGTTCGGTTCGAGTCCCTTTCAGCGACTCTGGAGCTCAAACACCTGTAGAGTTTTGGCCGCCTCCACCGGTCTTCTGGCCCAGTCACGACTCGGTCATGCTGGTGTTGGAGTGCGTACGAGAGGAAGTCCCCGATGAAGGCGAAGGGCGAGGACAGGAAGCGCCGGCCGCGCCGCCGCCGGACTCGGTGCTTCAGGAGGACGTCCAGGGGTGTGGTCAGCCTGGCGGCCAGCTTGGTGGCGTCGTAGTGGCCGTCCAGCCGCTGGGAGAGGTCCAGGATCAAGTCGGTCACGTTGTAGATCGGTGCCTTGTCGCCGTCCTCCCTCGTGATGGCCTGCAGGGCTTCCTGTGACGGGACGGTCGTGCAAGTTCAACAGCTTGACGATTTACCGTGCTCCAATACGACGAGCATTGTCAAAGTGGAGGCACATGTTGCACTTGAAGCTCACCTTGAACTGCGCCACCAGGGCTGCGGTGTGATCTTCGGCCGGGGGTCGGAGGTCCATCGTGAAGTTGGTGAGGGCGGCCGACGTCGCCAGCACGCGGTGGACGTGGCGGTAGTGCAGGCCGGGGTGCGCGGTGTACGAGAGCTGGGCGGCCAGGACGGCCTCCAGGGCCAGGACGAGCACGGCGACGAGCAGGCCCTCGCGGAAGCACATCGCCGTCCGGAGGTCGTGGGAGAGGTCTTGGAAGAGGTCGCGCGGAGACTGGCTGCACTGGCCTGGTCCAGCCGCTGCGTCCTGCGAGTCCTTCGTCACCGCACCGTATCAGCGGCGTCCCCACCATCGTCGTCGTGGCGGTGGTGGTGGTAGAGCACCGAGGAGTCACTTCCAGTAATCAGGCGCGCACTTCCCAGACTTCCCATTCAGACACCGCCGCCTGCGCGTTCCCGTTTAAGCGGTTTACGGTCACCAAAACTGCACGGATGAATTTTCGATCTGTTCCCACTCCATTGAATAGGGCTTTCCCCGGCATTCCTTCGTTATCACAAGCCCCGTCCTCTCTCACTCTGGCCACTCAGCCAACTATCTGCTCGACTTGTGAGTCACTCGCCTTTTTCGAACTGCGCTCCAGTTTCCCAGTGGCCTGCCTTTCCCTGGCGACTCACGCATTGCCAGTGGTGCATTCCCGATCGCTGAGTCCCAGTCAGACTGGGTCAGTAGAATGGGCGCCAGAACAGGGTTGCCAGAAAAAGAGGCAGAAATTCCCACGTTGCATCAGAGTCAGAAGGGTTGCCAACCTCAGGCCGCCTGGGTCTCCGGAGTGCTATGGAGCTGGCGAGTAGGTAGGGATGAGGTTGGCAACCCTAGGGACGCTGCCGCGTCGTGATACTGTTTGCCTACTTACATACTGGTGTGCCTGTCGAGTAGGTAGGGCTGAGGTTGGCAACCCTAGGGACACTGCCGCGTCGTGATACTGTTTGCCTACTTACGTACTGGTGTGCCTCGCGGTGGATCGGCTGCGTCACAGAGATCACAGAGACGCCTGCTCGCACGGAGGAAAAGGATTGCGTGGAATTTGCGAGGAAACGAAGGAAAAGTTTTGGCGGCGGGTCCCTGCTTCGCCGCTCCGCCGCTCGGCTCACACACTCGACGCTTCGCGCGCTTCGCGCGCTTCGCGCTCCGGCCCGCTCTTGCAGTGTAGTGTAGTCCTATCCCACCGGTTGCCAACGCGCCCTCTTCACCGGGCCGCGGACCAAGTTTCTTCTTCTTTCCTTAGTTGGCAACTCTATATATCTTGGAGCGCATGCAGTGCATTGGAAGCGGCCAGGGCGCCCGACCCGCGCCACGCCACGCCGTTCGGCGAGAAAAAAAAAACGCTAACGAAAGTACGGAGCGATGCGCTGCCGGGCGACGCAACGACGCGACGGCAGCGCTCCAAGCGCCGAGCGGGAAGTGGGTCAACTAGGCGGCCGCCTGGCGCGCCTCGCGCTCGCCCCGCACAGTGGACCAGAAGACCGGTGGAGGCGGCCAAAACTCTACGCGCGTTTTGAGCTCCAGAGTCGCTAAACAGGACTCGAACCGAACGTGTGACCCCACCAATGGATTCCTCGTTCGGAGAGCAATCCATTGGTGGGGTCACACGTTCGGTTCGAGTTCATAGCGACTCTGGAGCTCAAAACGAGTCCGGGATTTTGGCCACCTCCACCGGTCTTCTGGCCCGCCGTGCCCCGCTCCGCCTGCTCGGATAACCCGGCTGGACGAATTCGGAAGAAGAAAAAATGGCACTTTTGTGTGGAAGTTTTGGCCGGGGGAGAGAAACGACTTTTACTATGCATCATTGGTTACGCAAATACCACACTGTGGGGAGCTATACTTTACGACTTGACTTTTGCGCTCGCTACCCCACTTTCCAAACGCTGGCCCCTGGCCCCGCGGCCCCGCACACCGTCCCACCGCACTCGAAATGACAAGGGACATCTTGGGGCCGGGCGTGGCGGGGCGTGGCGGGGCCGGGCGTGGCGGGGTCGCTGTGTTCCCCAGTACGTTCGCTCCAACGGTCTCGCCGTCCCGATACCCTTGCCGCGAAGGTCCCTCTCAGCGCGCGTCTTGCAGTGCCGTGCCGTGCCGCGCAGACCGGAAGTCAGTCAGAGTGGCCACCCTAACGAGCTACAAACGGGCCAACATTATGAAAAGAAAAGCGCGGGAAATCCCGGGAAAACTTTTTATCTCGGTTCTGCCGAGAAAGGGGAAAGCACGAAACACGTTTGCTAGTTTTTGAAGAAGACTTGGCCGCCTGGCGCGCGGGGCCGCGCGGGCCGCGCACCGCAGATGCGGCCTATTGTGATGCTGCGAGGGCGGCCGGCATGCAGAATGTGTAGTGGCGGGCCGGTGGGGGTGCCGGAGGAATTTGAATAATTTGCTGATTGTAGGTCGGTAGACGAGAGGCAACCGAGGGCCCGCTTTTGATTGGCTCTCCAGGCAGCGCAGCGCTGGCCGCAGCGCAGGCCGCAGCGCAGGCCGCAGCGCAGGCCGTGCAGGTGCGCAGTCTCTTTGATTAAGAGCCCTCTCCCCGGCAGCCCGACTCCGGACGGTGCTTCGGCAGCGGTGGTGGTGGCACCGCAAAGTCGCTCCAAATGTAACCGATGTCGTATTCTGGGCTGCCTTCGAGGGGACAGTGCGCTCGAACGTACAGTGGGTGCATGTTTTCAGGCCAAGAGTATTTCTTCCCGCCAAAAGCCTTTCTTCCCGCCAAAAGCATTTCTTCCCGCCAAAAGCATTTCTTCCCGCCAAAAGCATTTCTTCCCGCCAAAAGCATTTCTTCATGCCTCGGATAGTCGAGACACCCGTTGCAGTTCTTCCGACGTCGCTCCGTGTGGTGCATGGAGGGTTGTGGCGGCCACACTGTTGTTGCCACATGCCGCGCATCCATGGGTAATGCAGGTCGAATTGGGGCAGCCCAGGCGGCCCAGGCGGCCCAGGCAAGGGACGCCAAGGCGAAGGGGCGGCGGAGGTGCCGATTGGTTCCCGGGTGCCTGGGGGCGGCGTCGGGGGCGGCGTCGGGGGCGGCGTCGGGGGCGGCGTCGGGGGCGGCGTCAGGGGGTTCTCGAGGGACCGCGACGGAGCCGTCCCGCTGTCCGGCGTGTGGGACTGCGACACAAAAAGGCAGGACACACACAACTCGGAATTTATTGAACAGGCATACGCCCAAGCCTCGCCAGGGAAACCAACTCCAAGACTGAAATAAAAATGAAAAATCAAGAAAAAAATTACGTTTTGCCTGTCTCTTCTTCAAGGTGTTGTTTGTTGGGACCATATTCGTGTCCTTTTTAAAAAGTATACTCACGTATGCCATGCAACAGCCTCCTGAGTCTAGTTCGCCAAGTCAAAAAAGTTTTCCGCTTCCAGCCTGACCTGCTTCTGCCGCGAGACGCGATGAGCTAGGGGCCTGACGACGTAGTGTGACAAAATCTCCGGGATGTCTTTGCGCTGCTGTGGCGGAGCGGAGGGGCGGAGGCCACGGTGGCTGGGGCAGACAGTAATCTCCTCGTCACGAACAAGGGCACAATTTCGCTCAGGCTGTAAACGACATAAGCTGAAGCGCAGAGCGACGAGCGCCACTAACGGATTACACTACCGATCCTCCACTACCTAACCTAACCGAACCTAACCTGGCGCAGGCTCGGACTAGACCCCAAAAGGCCCCAGCGGATAAGACCGCAAAAGGCCCCCGATCATCATTATGTTTTTACCCTTTATGACCAACTTTGTGAGGCTACCGCTCCCAAACTAGTTGCGGTCAATAGCCTTCCCGATACAGGGCATGAAAGAGTAGGGTCTTAAGAATACTAGGGCGTCGAGGGAGGTTTTTACGGCGACTAGGTTGGACACAGTGACCGCCCAAAGTCAGCAAAATCAGCAAATTTCCGAGATTTTTGACCACTTTTTGACCAACTTGGTCGGAAAATCGTTGCGGTCAAAGCCAAAATCGTTGTGGTCAAAGTCTTCCCGATACAGGGCATGAAAGAGTAGGGTCCTAAGAATACTAGGACGTCGAGGGAGGCCTTTTGGGGCGACTAGATTGGACACAGTGGCTACCCAAAGTCAGCAAAATCAGCAAATTTCCGAGATTTGACGACTTTTTGATCAACTTGGTCGGAAAATCGTTGCGGTCGAAGCCAAAATCGTTGTGGTCAACGTCTTCCCGATACAGGGCATGAAAGAGTAGGGTCGTAAGAATACTAGGACGTCGAGGAAGGCCTTTTACGGCGACTAGATTGGACACAGTGGCCACCCAAAGTCAGCAAAATCAGCAAATTTCCGAGATTTGACCACTTTTTGACCAACTTGGTCGGAAAATCGTTGCGGTCAAAGCCAAAATCGTTGTGGTCAACGTCTTCCCGATACAGGGCATGAAAGAGTAGGGTCGTAAGAATACTAGGACGTCGAGGGAGGCCTTTTACGGCGACTAGATTGGACACAGTGGCCATCGTTGTGGTCAACGTCTTCCAGATACAGGGCATGAAAGAGTAGGGTCGTAAGAATCCTAGGGCGTCGAGGGAGGCCGTTGGCCGCAATTAGATCGGACGCAGTGGCCGCCCAAAATCAGCGAAAACGGCTACTTTCGTCCTATATATACTAGCACTCTTCGACCAACTTTGTGACGTTACTGGTCCCAAACCCGAAGGGCCCCGGCAGATTTTTCTGCCTGTCTGCCCTGGCCAGTCCGAGCCTGACCTGGCGTAACCAAACGGATTTCACTGCCGGACGCTGCGAAGCGAGGCGCGCTCAAAGAACCGACGAATCGCGTAGCCGTCTTCGCAGAGCACTTACTATACTTTGGACCGCCGCTGTTCTCACACACACAGGCACACAGACAGGCGCGCGCGCGCCCACACACACACACACACACACACACACACACACACACACACACACACACACACACACACACGCGGCCCGTCCGCCACAGAATGGTAATGCGGGGCGATGCTGGCGATGCGGCCCGCCCGAACCTCTTCGTGGCTACTGCTGGCCGAGGCCCCGGCCGGCCCCTTGTAATCGTGTTAGCCCGAGTCCACGGGGTCGGCCAGCCCCGGCCAGCCCCGGCCAGCCCCGGCCAGCCCCGGCGAGTCGGTCCTACACCGCAGCCCCGCATGCAACTTCGTGGGGGTCTCTGCGGTCGGCAGGTCGGGCCGGCCGGCGGCTGTCGCGTTACTTCACCACCATCGATCTCGCTATCGAGATCTCGAAATCGACTAATTTCGCGTCAATTTTCGAGTCAGTCACAATGAGAGGTGCGGTTGCGGTTTCATTTATTTACTCTTCCGACCTAACTGTCTGAGGCGACTCACATTATTTCGGACACAACTTCAATTAGTTGTTAATGAATTGCAGTCAAATATACAACAGTTATTTTTTTTTTTTTTTGCGATTTGATATTTGACTTGAACTGCGCTCTAATAGATGACGGGAAATATGGGCGTGGCGGAATGAAGGCTGTCGAATTTCTTCCGCCGCTTCCTGCAGCATCGCGCCAAGAACGAGGTGACACACCTGAGAGAAACAAACAAACAGCAACAAATGAAGGTCACGATAGATGACTCGACAAAAACGAAAACAAAACATGGAATCCAAAAAAACAGTGAACGCGAGTGAAGGAGAGAGAGCGCGTTGTTTGCAGGGCCGTCCGGTCGGTCCGGGCGGACCAGGCCGTCAGGTGAGGTTGCCGCGAAACGGAGCCTGCAGCGTGTCGTCCACTGGAAGGCTGGAAGCTCGCTGGAAGCGCTGGAAGGGTCGGACTGTCCCCTTATTAAGTTAGACGTACACTAGCCGCACAACCCAGCCCCGGGGCTGGCGGGGCTGGCGGGGCTGGCGGGGCTGGCGGTAGGGCCACTTCTCCGGCTAGGGTTCTGGCCGGGGCCCGGACCGAGTGCGTTGGAGGCCATCGCGAACGAGAAAGTATTGTGCAGCCGACAAGGCGTCCCGGACACGGCGTCCCGGACACGGCGTCCCGAACACGGGTACCAACCGCAAACAACGCCAGGCAGTGCGGGGCCATCCGGGGCGGCCAGGACGGCCAGGACGCCGCCGGGGAGAGCCAGCCCTGTTTTCTCTCCGGCGGAGTGGCCACACTGCCGCACCTCGCCGGACAGGTGCAACCCCAGAGTAGCACCTCTGGGCTGTCGCTGTCTCTCTCACTCTCATGGGCCGGGCTGCTCGGGTGCGAGAGAGACAGACTCACTTGGCGCGGCTGACGCGCTCCACGCTGAAGACGAAGAGGGCGAGCAGCAGGCCGTTGTACAGCACGATGAGGGCGGGGTAGAACTCCTGCAGCCCGATGGCCACGAAGGTGGTGGCCTGGCCCGCGCAGCCCGGCCGCGGGTTCTCCCAGCGGCTGCTCACGCGGTCCAGCAGCCCCGTCTCCCGCTGCCACCGGATGCTGCGGACGAAGACACCAAAGTCCAACCATCCAACGGCCACGCCACGAATCTCCTATCCGTCCAGCCTTTCGCTTTCGGGTTTGGGTCCGTTGGTTCGGTTAGGTTCCGCCGCTCGCGCCGCTTTGACACCATGGAGGGTGGCGCGGTGGCGCCGCCCCTGCCTGCCCCCGGTCCACCCCCGGCCGCGGGGGCGGGCCCAGCACTCTCTCTCTCGCACACCGAGGGGACGGCCCGCGAGTGTGAGGGAGACAGAGCGAGCCCCGCACCCTACGTGCTCATAATGAGTTGAAATTGGGCGAAATTATAGGGCAGTAAATACGAGGCCTCTCGGCCGCGACGCGCCGCCTGCCTGCCTGCCTGCCTGCCTGCCTGCCGGGGCGGCCGAGTATAACACCTGCATAAATTACATAACTGGCCATTTTGTGGGCGCGAGCAGGCAGCCCGAGCAGCCAGCCCGGGCAGCCAGCACAGCAAGGTTCATTTGAATCGGTGATAAAGCAAAGCGTGGAGGGCGCGGCGGGGTCCTCTGGTCTGTCGTCGCCTCGCCGGAGAGAGGAGGGGCGGGGCGGGGCGGGGTGCGGCGGGGCGGGGCGGGGTGGGGCCGGCCGGCAGCAAGCGGTAAGCGACGTTTCATTGCGCCTAATGGCCATCCAGCCTTGAGCTTTTGCCCTTCAGAAAGCCGACAGGACCGCTACAGCGAAAAACGGTCTCTCTGTGTGTGTGTGTGTGTGTGTGTGTGTGTGTGTGTGTGTGTGTGTGTGTGTGTGTGTGTGTGTGCGCGCGCGCGCGCGCACTTAACAACGTCTTACGGATATGAAAATGCAGAGGCGGTGCAATGAAAAAGTCGTTTATGACCGTGGGGCGCGTCGGTGTGTTTGTTCAATGTGTTGGTGAGCGCGAACGAGAATCCTTGCGCGCGCCACGGTTCTCCAGCCTGGAGTCTGCTCTGGATTCCAGCTAAAGGGATTTGTCGTGTCTCGGAACGCATGCATTGTATGTGTGTGTGTGTGAGTGTGTGTGGCGGGGGTGGAGGGTGGGGGGTGGGGGGGGGGGGGCCTTTGTTATTCTCATTACCGACCCGCGGCTCCGAGCCAGAGTGATTGAGTCCTGCCCCAAAGAGTGTGCGAGAGAGAACGTACCCCCGAAAATGGGGCCCGGCGCCGAGGACTGCCGAGAACTGCCGCGGACTCTGAGGACTTTGCGAGGTTTTAGTGAAATGAGGTGGCTGTCTGCCGGGCAGGCACGGGCAGGCACGCCGAGCAATGCTGACTGGCACACTAGTGCGGGGCGTCGTTCGCAAGTGTCCCTCACAAAGGACGTCCGTCCGTCGCCACTCACTTCCTGGTGATGGCCTCCCGGTACGGCGACTTCTCCGTGGTGCAGAAGACCATGGGGGCGGCGGGGAAGAGCTCCACCTCCGAGAGGTCGCACTTGTCGGACTCCAGGAACGTGTCGAGGATCTCCCTGTAGCCCTCGTTGGTCTCCACCTGGAACGCGTACATGCCGTGCCGCATCCTCCTGATGCCCTCCTGCGTCGACACGAACCCCGGCCGGTCGTGGGTCTTGATCTTCTTCCTGAAGGCCTCGCCGGCCACGTCGGCGGGGTCCCTCTCCGCCTCCTAGGAAACACATCGTCCAGGCAGTTCGTCTCGGTTCCGCGGCGCATCACAGTGGGGGGACGCGGTCAAAATGCCTGACGCGTTTTGAGCTCCAAGGTCGCTAAATGGGACCCGAACCGAACGTGTGACCCCATTAATGGATTGCTCTCCGAACGAGGAATCCATTGGTGGGGTCACACGTTTGGTTCGTCCTATTTGGCGACTCTGGAGCTCTGAACCTTCCTCACCCAAATTTGGGTGAGAAAGAATTCCTCGCCCAAAATTTTAGTCATGATCACGACTCTTTCATTCTCAGTGCACCGGTCTTCTGGCCCACTGTCCGGCCAAATGGTTTCCTCCTGACCCGGAACCAGACGTGCTGGAAGCGGATGTCCTGCACGCCCATGTGCACGTCGCTGTCGAGGAGGTCGCGCACGCTGCGGAACGCGTTGCTCTGCGACTGGATGATGGCCACGATGGACCCCGAGAAGGACGTGAACAGGAACAGGTTGGCGATGAACGTCGTGATGAAGGTGATGCGCGCCGACACCATGGTGGGCGTGCAGAAGAAGCCTGGAGCAGCGGATTGGATACGTACTTTCAACTTCCAGAAATTTAAAATTTGAAAATGGAACAATAATACTCTTATCAATCTTTCTAGAGTAGAGGTAGGTCCACTGGGACGTTGTGAAGTCCGTGAGGGTGCTGACCTTGCTGCGAGAGCGCGCCGACGATGAAGGTGATGCAGTCGCCCACCTCGAGGTGGTCGCTGGGGTCGTTGCGGTGCAGGCCACTGTGCGCGCGCCACCACTGCGTCTGCACCACGAGCAGGGCCATGGCGAGCAGGGAGACGGCCCCCGCGGCGCGCCACACGCCGGGCGAGAAGGGCAGCAGGTACACGTTGGACACGGACGACTTGGACGGCTGCCGGAACAGCACCGCCGTCCTGCCAACAGGTGGGCCGTCACACAGTGGGCCGCAGGCAGCCGCAGGCGGACAAAACTCTAGACGCGTTTTGAGCTCCAGAGTCGCTAAACAGGACTCGAACCGAACGTGTGACCCCACCAATGGATTCCTTGTTTGGAGAGCAATCCATTGGTGGGGTCACACGTCCAGTTCGAGTCCAATTCAGCAGGACGTCAAAACGCGTCCAGAGCTTTGGCCGGCCGCACTGGTCTTCCGGCCCACTGTGCGCCAGCTGCCGGGTTGGCTAGTCACCTGAGTCCAAACGTCTCCGCCGACAGGTCCATGTAGGGCAGCCGATCGGCCCGGATGAACACGGCAGTGGCCAGCATATCGTGCTCGTAGCGCTGCATCTCGCCCACCATGCCGTCGAACACGCCCTGGCCGGTGTCCCAGCCGTAGTTGTCGCGCTTGTACACCAGCATCCTGCCGACAAGCGCCGCTTTTTGCTCTCGGAGGGGCCGGAGGGGCTGGCGGCCGGCACGGCGGTGTAACGCTTTGGCGGCAACACGTGTCGCGTCGGCTCACCCGAAGTTGAGGCTGTAGCCGAGGTTCTGCGTGACGGGCCAGTTCATCTTGGGGTACAGGTCGTTCTGCCGCAGCCGGTTGTCCTCGATGTGGGTGTACTCGTCCGGGAATTTGATCTGCGGCAAGGTGGCGCTGCAGGTGGATTGCGCACAGCGCACAGTGGGCCAGAGGACCGGTGGAGGCGGCCAAAACTCCTCCAGAGTCGCTAAATGGGACTCGAACCAAATGTGGCCCCACCAATGAATTCCTCGTTCGGGGAGCAATCGGGGAGTCCTGTTTAGCGACTCTGGAGCTCAAAACGTGTTTAGAATTTTGGCCGGCTCTACCGGCCTTCTGGCCCACTATGCAGCGTACCTCTGTCTCTCTCGCGCCGAGTGAGTGCGAGAGGGACAGACAGCTGGCAAGCGGCCGGGTGGGTCGGGGCTCACGATGGTGGATCCGCGAAGGGTGGCGCCCTGCAGGTCCGCGCGCCGCTCCCGGAGGAGGCCCTGCTGCAGCTCGTCCATCGTCCAGCGCCAGCGAAGGCCGTCGCCGTCGTCGCCACCTTCGGAGACAGCCACCAGGTACCCCTGCAGCGGCCTGGCCAGGCACGAGCGGAACACCTCCAACGCCTCCACCCGCTACAACGCCCACAAAAAAAGTTGTTTTGCCGGGTATCGAACCCGGGTACGCCAGATGCGAATGCGACTCACCTGTCCGCTGCTCTGCACCCACAGCACGTGGCTGTCCACGAACATGACCTTGTGGTCCAGGACGCCGATGGCCGCGGCGGACAGCGTCAGCGCGGGGAGCAGGGCGTGCCTGGCGCGCGGCGGCGTCGGCGGCGCGATCTCCAAGAACGCCTCCTCGGCGGGGTCCACGGCGCTGTCGCGGTCCTGCGCCCCGAAGCGGTGCACCGGGATGTCCTGCAGGTCGTCGAACTCCTCCTCGACGGGCACCTCGACCGGCGCGCGGTCCGGCGGCTTGCCCAGGAGCAGGCCGTCCTCGAAGATGACCCACGTGTTGGACACGTGGAACAGCCGCAGCCGCGAAGCCTGCACTCTCGAAACCTTCAACTACTATTTCGCCAGCACAGCACTAACAGTGCTCCAGCGTGTTGATGAGTCATTTCACTCGAGGCAGGCCGAGGCAGGCGTTATCAATGCCCTTCGCGTCAGAGTCGCGAGCAGACCCAGCGGCTGCAGCTGCCATGTCCAGGTGGTCCGACGGCACGGCCGCGGTCGGATGGCTACCGGACGCCACCGCAACAACAACAACAACAACAACAACAACAACAAGCGGTACCGCCTCGCCTCCACGGCCGTCATCGGACTTGAGGAGACGAATCCACTTTGCATTGCATTTCCCTGAACCTCGCGGCCGCGGCGTGGCGGCGTGGCCACGGCCCGGGAATAGCAGTCCAGATAGAGTCAGCCCAAATTACGCGATCACTCATTTCGCGTGCCTCGCGGTCTGAATGTTAAACCGGCACCCGATTCCGAAGCGCCGTCTCGTCGCTACGCGTCGCTCGGTCTCTGTCGCACTCATGGGGCGCCCCGTCGGCTAGCCGTCGGCCCGTCGGGGCGCGAGAGAGACAGAGTGGTGATTCACCGGGTAATAGACGTGTCCGGTGAAAGTAAACAAGGGCCTTCCTCTGGAAAGAGGAGCGTTCGTTTTCGTTCCCCCGCTTCCTCACCAAGTCCAGGAACTTGTCCGCGTTGCGGCACGACGCGTCCACGACCACGGCGTTGGCGTGCACGGTCTCGCTGAGGCCGGCCTTGACACTGGCCGCCTTGGTGTTCTCCGTGCCTCGGAGGAACTGTGCCGTCATCCCGGCCGACGACAGCAAGCGGTACAAGAACGCGTTCTCTGCGCAAGGACAGTCGCCTTGGTGGTTTTTCCAAAGGCCGCCGTCGGCGCACAGTGGGCCAGAAGACCGGTGGACGCGGTGTAGGAGGCGAACTGTACCCGTCGGCGCAGAGTACCCCCGGGTGCACAACGCCTAGGGCCATAGAACCCTGGGGTACATGACGACTAGGTTCAATGTACCCAGGGGTACAATTCGCCTAGGTGCCAGGTGAATTGTACCCCGGGTACAATGCGGCTAGGCGAAAAGTACCCCGGGGTACATTTTGCCTAGGCTTATTGTATCCCCCGCCGGCCGGAGGAGGATGCACGTCGCCTAGGCGCAATGCATCCCCCCCGGATACAAAGAGCCTAGGCGAGGAGTATCCTCTCGGCCGGCCGGAGGGGGATACAAAAAGCCTAGGCGCAATGCATCCCCCCCCCCGGATACAAAAATCGAGAAAAAAAAAGAAGAAAAAAGGGGGGCCCTTCTCCCACCTCCGCACACAGGTCGGAGGGCCGCCTGCAACTTCGGTGGATCGGGGGAACCGGTGCTTTACAGGCGGCGACCCCAGGGGTTCTCGTCTGTATATGGGCCGGGCTTGAAGGGCGGGTTTGACAGTCTCTCTCTGCCTTGAGAGCCTTTGCTTTTCGCGGGGTGGTCTGTACCAAATGTACACCCGCTGTCCGGCGCTCTCTACCAAACATACAGCTTGTTTAAGGGCCAGCTTCAAAGGACTTATCATCTCCTCCCGACGAATCAGGAGGACCCACCCGCGACCAATTACGGGTGGCTGGATTGACGGATCAAATACTCCGTCGCTCCAGTGCCGAGGCCAACCCGCCGAAGCGCAGTTGCTTTTTAGACACCCCAGCGGAGTGGCCAGGTGAATGTGACTCTGACCACTACGCTATCAAGCTTGTACGTCTGGCGTCGTGTTGGACGACGGGTTTGAGTTGCAGTGGAAGGAAGCCAGTCGAAAAATGTAATGAAATGATGGGAGTCGATCCCAGGACCCTACTGCCGGGACCGCACGACTTTTGCCGCTCGCCCACCACGGCCCATGACGAAAGGAGCGGCGTGAGGCGGGCTCTTGACGCGACAGGAATGGACCGACCCGGTCAAAATTTCACAAGAAGTTTGGGGAGTCGAACCGCCGACCTCAGTACGGAGAAGCGACGCCTCTACTCCCTAGACCACAACAGCACATGCAGTCCGTTGGCTGCAGTCACGGTTTTCAACCACACTGGGCGAGGCAGTAAAAATAAATGTTAATGTCCCTATAGGAATCGAACCCCCGACGTGTGGGACTGTTCACTGTTCTACGCACTACACGGCTCCGCTCTGATGGCCTTAAACCGTTCCACAAAAGAAAGGAAATCGAAAAAAAAACTTGAGATGCCGGTATTCGAACACCGCAAATGTTACAGACGTTCGATCGCATTTGCACAGTGCGGTGTTCGAATACCGGCATCTCAATTTTTTTTTTCGATTTCCTTTCTTTTGGCGAACGGTTTGAGGCCATCAGAGCGGAGCCGCGTAGTGCGTAGAACGGTCCCACACGTCGGGGGTTCGATTCCTGTAGGGACATTAACATTTATTTTTACTGCCTCGCCCAGTGTGGTTGAAAACCGTGACTGCAGCCAACGGACTGCATGTGCTGTGGTGGTCTAGGGAGTAGAGGCGTCGCTTCTCCGTACTGAGGTCGGCGGTTCGACTCCCCAAACTTCTTGTGAAATTTTGACCGGGTCGGTCCATTCCTGTCGCGTCAAGAGCCCGCCTCACGCCGCTCCTTTCGTCATGGGCCGTGGTGGGCGAGCGGCAAAAGTCGTGCGGTCCCGGCAGTAGGGTCCTGGGATCGACTCCCATCATTTCATTACATTTTTCGACTGGCTTCCTTCCACTGCAACTCAAACCCGTCGTCCAACACGACGCCAGACGTACAAGCTTGATAGCGTAGTGGTCAGAGTCACATTCACCTGGCCACTCCGCTGGGGTGTCTAAAAAGCAACTGCGCTTCGGCGGGTTGGCCTCGGCACTGGAGCGACGGAGTATTTGATCCGTCAATCCAGCCACCCGTAATTGGTCGCGGGTGGGTCCTCCTGATTCGTCGGGAGGAGATGATAAGTCCTTTGAAGCTGGCCCTTAAACAAGCTGTATGTTTGGTAGAGAGCGCCGGACAGCGGGTGTACATTTGGTACAGACCACCCCGCGAAAAGCAAAGGCTCTCAAGGCAGAGAGAGACTGTCAAACCCGCCCTTCAAGCCCGGCCCATATACAGACGAGAACCCCTGGGGTCGCCGCCTGTAAAGCACCGGTTCCCCCGATCCACCGAAGTTGCAGGCGGCCCTCCGACCTGTGTGCGGAGGTGGGAGAAGGGCCCCCCTTTTTTCTTCTTTTTTTTTCTCGATTTTTGTATCCGGGGGGGGGATGCATTGCGCCTAGGCTTTTTGTATCCCCCTCCGGCCGGCCGAGGGGATACTCCTCGCCTAGGCTCTTTGTATCCGGGGGGGGGATGCATTGCGCCTAGGCGACGTGCATCCTCCTCCGGCCGGCGGGGGATACAATAAGCCTAGGCAAAACGTACCCCGCCGTACGTTTCGCCTAGCCGCATTGTACCCGGGGTACAATTCGCCTGGCACCTAGGCGAATTGTACCCCTGGGTACATTGAACCTAGTCGTCATGTACCCCAGGGTACTTTGGCCCTAGGCGTTGTGTACCCGGGGGTACTCTGGGTCGGGGGGTACACTTACACGCCGACAGCGGCCAACCCTCTAGACGCGTTTTGAGCTCCAGAGTCACTAAGCGGGACTCGAACCGAACGTGTGACCCCACCAATGGATTGCTCTCTGAACGAGGAATCCATTGGTGGGGTCACAGGTTCGGTTCCAGGCCTGTTTAGCGACTCTGGAGCTCAAAACGCGTCTAGAATTTGGGCCGCCGCCACCGGTCTTCTGGTCCACTGTGTGGCAGTGTGGCGCGCACCTCGGCCCCAGCACACGAACGCCGTCACGCGCTGCACGTCCCTCCTCCGGATGGCGTCGACGGCGAGGTGCGCGGCCCTCCGGAACCGCGCCAGGCCGCGGTCGTCGAGCGCCCCTTCCTCCACGCCGACGTCCGCGACGTCCGGGGCCAGCGTCGTCGACGTGGTGCCATCACCCTGGCCCTGGCCGGCGGCCCGGCTCAGCACCATGAACAGCACCGCCACGCCGACCTGGCGCGGAGAAGCGGCGTCTTCATGGTTCAACACGTTTTCTTTCCTGGTTGTGGGGCCGGCCCAGTCATCAGCAGCGGCTCGCACAGCAATGCGTCAGTCAGAAGTCCTTGGCCTTGTCGGGGAACTCGGCATATCACTCGAGGAGGATCGGCGTGGGAGGGGCTGCCTACCCGCACGGCGCCGCACGGCGTGCAGGCCTCGGCCTCGGCGCGTACCATTGTGGCGTCCAACTCGTCCGACTCGGCACCGGTCGGCGGCCACGCCATGGCCACGCCATGGCCACGCGGTCCAGGGCGTCCGCGGGGCGCACAGTGGGCCAGAAGACCGGCGGAGGCGGCCAAAACTCTAGACGCGTTTTGAGCTCCAGAGTCGCTAAACAGGCCTGGAACCGAACCTGTGACCCCACCAATGGATTCCTCGTTCAGAGAGCAATCCATTGGTGGGGTCACACGTTCGGTTCGAGTCGCATTTAGCGAGTCTGGAGCTCAAAACGCGTCCAGAGTTTTGGCCGCCTCCACCGGTCTTCTGGCAAATCCACTGTGGGGCGCGGGGCTGACACCTCTATTTGGACAGGCCGTGTGCTCACCTTCATCGGAGCGCGGATGGAGGGACGCCTTTGATGCCTCCAGCCCTTGCGGCCCCGCAGCTTTGGACTGTTCTCATAAGCCGGTTGAGGTCGGGACTGGACTGGGCGAGACTGGGCGGGACTGGGGCCACCGTGTGTTCCGTGTGTGAGCCCCACACTATTGACTGTCACCCCGCCCCGCCCCGCCTCGCCTCGCCCCGCCCCGCCCCGCCCCGCCCCGCCTCGCCCCGCCTCGCCCCGCCCCGCCCCACCGTGTGCCGTGAGGCAGATGGCCGAACTGGCAGGCAGGGCTGGCCGGCTGATCGGCTGACCCGACTCGTGTTCGAGCTATTTCGGTCGCCGGACATCCTCGCCACGAACCTGTTTGCACGAACACTGATTCGTCGATCCGTCCGAGTTGCATCCACTGCAGCCCTTTCTGCTATTCCACACGCACGCCACGAAAAAATTCTTTGCCGGGAAGAGGTAAATTTTAGAAAGACTCGATTTTAGGAGACTTACAGTGGAGGGAATCGGCACGCAGGCGTACCGCCGTGCGTGCACTAGGACCGCGTGAGGCGTGCCTTGTGTGTGCACACTGAACATTAACTGTCTTTGGGGTTTCCCGGAAAAACACTAATGAAATTTGCCTTTGACGCCGGCGCGTAAATGCGCGTGTGAGTGTGTGCGTGGCCAGCATAGTGGGAACAACGCCTGCGAGCGCGTGCCCCCCGCACACACACACACACACACACACAATCCTCCAAATGGGTTGGGCGTGTGTTACTTGGGCCTACTGCCGTAGGACACGGGGCCGCCCCACCACGCCCCACCACGCCCCACCACGCCCCACCACGCCCCACCACGCCCCACCACGCCCCACCACGCCCCACCACGCCCCACCACGCCCCACCACGCCTCGCCACGCCTCGCCACGCCCCGCACCGGCCCGCCAAGCTCCGCAACGCTCGGACACCAGCGGGGCCGGACGTAGCCCCCTCGTTTCAATTTCGAAGCCGTGGAATTTTTCAGATGGGACGGGGCGTTTTCTCGTGTTTTTACGTTCCTCCCCAATGATTCTTCTTCTTTTCTCCGGCTTCGGTGTGCAGTCGTACGCCTTGCCGCCGAGGCGCACCGCGGAAGTTGGAGCCACCAATGCTGTGTGGCGCAGTTTAGTGCGTCGCCGTTGCCGGCGTTTCTCTGGCGGACTGTCCGGCGGGCCAATCACGCCCCAGTGTTCGCCCCCCCCCCCCCCCCCCCCCCCGGGCGTACACACGTCGGGGCTGCCAGCCGAATGCACACGGCGCGGTCGTACGCCACCAGGTAGAAATTCCGGCTGGGTGGGCGGCGGCAAAAGATTCGGGCATCTTTGACGGCGAGCCTCGCTGCCAGCCCCGCCAGCCCCGCCAGCCCCGCCAGCCCCTCCCCCTCTCCCCAACCCCACCAAGCGATGCTCACTTCCTGTCGTCGCGTGCATGGATGGAGGACGTGCACGGCTGTGCGGCCACAGAGGGGCTTTCGTATATTCACGAAAAGAACAACAAACAAATGCAAAGCGATCAAAAAATCATTTTTAGCAGATGATACCTTCACACTTGAAGCATACTGAGAGTGAGGTCAAAAGAGTACGAGGACGTTCAGGGAAGCCCTCCGACACTGCTAGTTTAGACGCGGCGGCCGCTCAAAGTCAGCCAATGCCGCGATGTTCACGCAAGTACATCGCTGACATGTTTTTTTTTCCTTTTTTGCGGTCGTATTGCACTGTGGCTATCTCGCCGTGACAAAGGGCGATGCAGTATGCAAAGGGGTTGGTCGTTCTGCCCCGCACTGCCCCCTTCCCTTGCCGCCCCTGCCGCGCCTCAGCCGCCCATTTCGCGACCGCGGTCGGTGGTATTCACGTGGAAAACGTTTGACCCTCACTCCCCTCTCGGCCACGCCCCGCCCCGCCTCGCCACGCCACACCCCGCCACGCCCCGCCCCGCCCCGCCACGCCCCGCCACGCCACGCCCCGCCACACCACGCCACGCCACGCCACAGCGCACCTGGCCGGGCCGTCTGACCGCGTCTTTTGCCGTCGCGGTCCGCGGCTCGCGGTTCGTCCCGCTGTGATTTCGCGGCCTCTCGCGCCGATGAACATCGAGAAGGCCGCTTTGGTGGACGCCGGACTCGTTTTAGGCTCTGTGGCCATCAAACTCGAACCGGACTCGAACGAACCGACGAGTGTAGCAGAGGGTTGCCGTCATGGGTTTGAGTCCTGCGAATAAGGACGCTAGATAAAGGAGTCAAGTGACCACTATGCGCAGGACGACGACGCCGAGAGGCTTTCCAGCGATATCGTGTTTCGTGTTGAAGAGAGACGGCAAACACTGCCGAGCAGTTCGATGAGACGTCCTCGTCGTCCGCGTAACTTGGTCATGTAACAGTCCGGCCCGCTCTGCCCGCTCTGCCAACACGGCGGCCTGATGGCGCCCGTTTTTGCCGGCCTCGCGCCACGCCCGCCCGGGACCCGTCCGGGGCACTCTGCGTGTTGATCTTGCGCTAATGCCTGAGAGCCTTGCAGCCCTGGACGCGTCCACCAGTGGACGCCCAGGATCACCCGAGCCTTATTAATTTCGTCAAGTGTTTGAGCAGGCCGTCGTGACCCTGCGTCCCCGCCACGCCTCTCGGCTCGGCCTTCCAAGGCCGCCGTTTATGGCGGTGTGCGACTGCACGATTTTCGATTCAAATTTGCCGCCACTGGCGCCGCGCCGCCGGAACGGCCGGAACCGGATGTCGTTGGCGGCGGCGACGGTTTGCCACCCCTGCGCGTCGGGTGGCGCCAGGCGCGCACGCGGCCAAGGAGGTTGCCGCCGGGCCGTGGGGTGCCGCCACCCCCAGGGCCCCACCGCCGGCAGCGCCGGCAGCGCCGGCCAGAGCCACCCCACCGGTCTCTCTGTCTCGCTCGCGCACGCGGCCCGAGCCGCCTAGAAGGCTGCCGAGCCGCGCGCGTGCGAGGGAGACAGAGACAGAGGCGGAAATGCAGTGTCGCGCAAACAGCGCCACAAGCCGCGCTAGCCGCGCCAGCACACTGGCGGGGCCAATATTTGAGCAAACCATTCGAGTGGCGGGTCGATGGTTGTTTCTAAACAGGCATGCTGGCTGATCCAATCACGGCGCGTGCCTAGCTCTGTCTCTCTCGCACGCCAGGCACGCCACGGACAGACCGCGAGTGCGACAGAGACGGAGCGGCGAAAGCACAGTGAAGCGATGCCACCTCTGGAGGCGGCCAAAACTCTAGACGCGTTTTGAGCTCCAGAGTCGCTAAATGGGACTCGAACCGAACGTGTGACCCCACCGATGGATTGCTCGTTCGGAGAGCAATCCATTGGTGGGGCCACACGTTGGTTCGAGTCCCATTCAGCGACTCTGGAGTTTGGCCGCCACCACCGGTCTTCTGGCCCACTGTGCATTTTCATAGAAGAACGGCGCTCTGCGTGTGTTTAGGTCTGCAGTCATAGAGAAGAAAACTCACGAGGCTTGGCAGCAAAACGCAGAGAGAACGACTCGCAGGCCCCGCCGTGCCGCCGCCTCACCCGCCAACTTCACTGCAAACCAGTCCGGGACGGGGCGGCCTTGTGGTGGCTTGATGAAGTTATCAAACTAAGGACAGCTGTCCATCTGAGGACCGCCCCGCCCCGACGGGCAAGCGCGCCCCGCCCCGCCCCGCCCCGCCTGTCCGACCCGGGGGCGGCACTGATTATTCAGAGGCCCCGACACAAGAAATCTATATCTCTGTGACGAGTGCCTGCCTCGCGCTTCGCAGAGTGCAGAGCTGCTGATTGGCACTGGGTCAGAGCGGTGCCTCATCCACTGCACCCTTTGGGCCTCATCACCATTCCTGTCTCACACGCCAAACTCGGAGGACACCCCCCTCCCCTGGCCAGGCTGGAGCGCCCGCGGAGCGCGGCGTAGGCAACCCGCTCCACGCGCCTGGGTAGCGCACAGGGCGTGGCCTACGCGCCGGGCGCCCACCAAGTGCCGATTGGAAGGAAATACCAAGTGTAAGTTGAAAAGGAATACCGAGTGTGAGTTGACAAGTAATTCGAAGTGCGAATTGAAAAGAAATTCCAAGTGGAAATAGAAAGGAAATACCGAGTGCGAATGAAAAGAAATGCCAAGTTCGAATTGAAAAGAAATCTAGTGTGAGTTAAAAAGAAATATCAAAAATAAAATTTGAAACAAAAAAAAATACTAGGAGCAAATTGAAAAGAAATGCCAAGTTTAAATTGAAAAGAAATATGAAGTGTGAATTGAAAATTGAAAACTTGCCTC